ACACAGTTTTGCTCCAAAAAGTCGATTTCAGCAGCTAAAAAGAGCACTTTCCGTTAGGATTTGACAGAAATAAAGTTCACCATTATTTTAAGCACGTTTCAAACTATAAATTGGGCTGAAAAAAGACAGTACGAAAATTTCGTTTCAGTGGCACTTTAAAGCAAGTTGTCATCATCTTTTACTGATTTTTTTCCCCGACAGCAAAATCCCAAAATTCAGCAAATTAAAGACATATGGTCGGCCGGTCTAGGAGTTGTGTCTCTGCATATTTTTCAGAGCGTGATTCCAGTCGAGGCGTACACACGTGAAGCGTGTATGATAGACGCGTTAGGTAAGTTCTATGCAGTAACACATTTGAAGAGGTTTAATACAACTTATACATTTAGGATAATAGCAAGTATCAGACCAGTGCGGAGATACTATAAAACAGTGAAATAAGTTACTTCGAAGCCAAGTAAAGGAATTTTGTAACTTTACGCGTTTCTTGTTGAACTCTCGCTAGGTGGACTCCATATTGTCTTATTTTTCACATTTTTCGCAAGGCGAACGATCGACGTCACATCAAAAGATGTATCACGTGTAAAAACACAATCCTTTCTTTTGGTTCAAAATGCGCCCGCGTAACACACTTCCATTGCTGTCAATCCAGTATTCAGAGCCCGCACTTTTTCGGTCAGTGGTGATCAAACTCTTGACGAAATCAGAAACCAAAACCAGGAAATCCTGGTTCCGGTTTGATATGCGCAGGGCGTCCAAATTTAATATGGTCCCTGAACATGCGCAGAGAGAGTAACCGCCGATTTAATGCTGGGTAACTTTCCGATTTCTCCCAGAAGTCTCGATTTCTTGTTGCTATCTAAAAGGATCGCGGCTTATGAGATTGCGCGTTCTCCTTCCTAGTTAGGGCCTCCGTTTCTTTCAGTCAGGCGAACCTGTCATAATCCTTCAGGGCTGTGCTCTAGAGGCGCCCGGGTGCCACAGGTGACCAGCTTTTGCCTGTGAGCAACAACAACAACAACAAGGTTTATTTGAACTGTAAAAAACTGGAAAAATCTACTTTTTTCATGTAAGCTTTAGAGCTGCGCACCCAGGATTTCATGGTTAGGAACCATTGGGCTCGTAATTTTTCTTAGACCGCAGCCTTAACCCTTAGTCCTTTTATCTCTGTTTCGACAGGTCTCTCCCGTCTAACCAACAAAAAGAGGGGAGACTATTACGGCAGAGCGCAAACATGGCCACAGTCGAAGAGGAGAGAAATGGGCGTCTTTCTTTTAAAGCGAGCACTCAAAATATTACTTAGTGAGGGAGAAAGGCAGCTGCGTGCTGGAGATTTGCGTATCACCCAAACTTCATAGGTGAGTCAGGCTATTTCACTGTAAAATAATTACGTGGCTTTGGGCCGTGGAAACAGATTACGATCAAACAACTTGATAAAAAAATTGGCTAAACTTTATCTGAGACTTAAGCGCTTGGTTTAAAAGGCGTAGTTACTGATTTCGATGTTTCATCGACAGATCCATTGTCCATTTTCAAGCACCAAGTAGGATCCACATGTTCCTTTATCGACGTGAAAATAGGCTCCTTTTAACGTCATTTTTATGCCATTTTTACGCCGTTTTTACATTTTAAATCTTCAGGTCTAAACTTTTTAATCATTTTAACAATATTGTTTACTTGCTTTTTAAGACAAATCTTCGAAAAGCTCTCTTAACAAAACCTACTGGCATGTAAACAGTTTTGACTAATCTGCAAAATTTTATACTTGTCTGTAATTTAAGAAAAAAGAAACATTGTTTAAGTAGAATATGTCTGAAGGGGCACCAGTCGTACTTCAGAAGAGTTATGAAACAGCAAAAATCAACGACAACTTATTTTATGACAGTTTCAGTGACATGTTTTAGCCTAAGATGTGAATATTTAATGTATATAGAAACTATATGTTATTTATTGTTGTTTTCAAGGCCGTTTTAGGTAGTATGCCAAAGGGCCCACGAATTCGTAAAAATGTAAAAAATAAGGCCAAAAAAATGATAGTTAAGTTTTGCAAATTGGTTTTGATCGGTTTTAAAACCTCGACGGCCGAAGTAATCAAAAAGTAACTTCTGAAAAAGAAGTTTATTTTTTTTGTTAACTCTCAGTCTGTGTAAATAAATATACTAAACCTACAAGGCGATTTTACGAAGTTTACGAAAGTGGAGATCAAAGTAGTGTAAATTAGACAGTTAACGCTTTCTTTGCCTGTTAGTAGAGGCGTTTCACCCGTGCTACTGAAGACACGGGAAAAATGGCGTCAGCCATTTTGTTTTTGGACACTTCTCATTGGCCAAAACGTAACACATTCCTGCTGATTGGATGAAGTGTCCCGCGCGTTTTTCGTGAACCAATCAGCTAGCGGGGATGAAAGAAGATGGGGAAAAAAAGCCAGAAAAAAACGCTTGCCCAGATTTCGAAATTTCCTTAGAAGTAACTTCTAGGAATCAAGGACGCAGGCAATTGGGAATTTAATCTTTACCGTTACCCAGGAATTTTAAGATTTTTTTTAGCTCTAGTACGTCGGGTAAGACGGCCAGAATTCTAAGTAGTATTCATATTTCTGACGTTTTTTTTCCAAGAAAATGTAGTGTAGAAGTTTTACTTATTTCCACTTGAAGCTCTCGGCTCAGAAAGAGTTGATTATCAAAAGAGTAAATTTTTTTATGGAGCTTCTAGCACGAGAAGGATAAATCTTTTTAGAATTATAGAACATAGTTGTATATTTAGAAAATATACGTTTGTTTAAACATCGACGTATTAAGCAGTTGTTGAGTTGTAAATAAATCTGTTTCAAGTTAAAATACGACCTTATATTTGTCTCTTCAAGAAATAACGCGCACTCTTGTTTGGACTGAACGTCATTTGTTTTTGCAATGGGTCTGACCTGAAAATATTCATGTTCTTTCCTTGATAATTTGAAAGAAAAAGCTCGCCCTGCTGTGCTGCGGTGAATCTAAATCATTTTAAAATGAAGACAGAAATGCAGTGCACAATTGATTGCGGAGAAGAACATTCTAAAATCTCACGTTTTACATTCCATTTTCGTAACAAATGGAAAAATTGTGGTGTTCTCTTTTTCAGTTGATGTCACAATAAGGATATCAAATAACTGCCCAATCATGGGTATACAAATTACGGTCATTTTCGTGACGTAAACGGTTACCATGTAACCACACTAACAACCCGTTTTTAACACCCTTAATTTGCGCTCAAAAACGAGTCTAGTGACTCCAATTTTTTTTGCCAAGTTGTGGCAGTGAGTTCTGGACCTCTTTTTGGGATTAAGGATTGCAATGAAGCCCGGCGCTCCCTTAATTTGTTTTCAAACTTTGCGAAAAGTCGAATCTTCACACGCTGCTCATAATTCGATAATAAAACATGGGGGTTACAAAACTCGTTTTTGAATCACAGTTAAGGGTATTGTTAACAGGTCATGCGTGGCCATGGTAACTTGAATGGTAGTATCGATCCAGCAAAGTAGAAGTCCTAAAAAAACTGTACAAAACTGTTACCACCCATCTCAAGACTCAAAGCTTGTTAAATTAATTTCGTTACTACACACAGACTTCAACTACTGACAGAATCATTTAATTTACAATATTAGGCTATTTACATTGATTTATACAAATTGTACAAATTAAATTAATTCCCAACCATATCTATGATCAGTTCTAGTATTTTGGGGGCAATCTCCCTGGGACTGGGAGACATTCAATTGTCATGCTTACGAACCCCACGCGCGCATGAAATCTCAAAACAAACGGAATTCAACACCTTATCCCACCCTACGTCAAGTCTTAAACCCCCTCACCCGAGGGGTTCATGTCGACAATGCAGCAGTCTCACACCCGAGGGAAATAGTTGCAAGGGCGGGGAAGGGGCAGGGGGGTGGGAGCTCGTATCAACCGAAGTTTTTGTTTGTTATATCAACATGAGATGAAAGATCGTTTTCTCTTGGAGAAGTCTGCTAAAACGTTCTGTCGAATTTTCCAGTATCCTGGACAAGTGTCACCGTAAGATGCCACTTGAACTTTACCCTTGCGGGATTTCAGCTTCAACATATAAACCCCTGCAGTCATACCGTCATAGTCGCGATATTCCAAATGATAGGTGCAAATGTATTTCTCAAGATCCGTGTCATACACAATGAAGAAAAACAGTTTCACAGCTATGTCGTCTTCGTTTTCTTGCAACGGTTCTGGCTTTAGGTATTGTCCAACCTTCACGGCAAACCGGCCGAGGGAAATTTCCTCTCTCGTGAAGAATGTCATATTCAAAGTATTGAACACGCTTTCTCCCCAAACGTCCACAAGCTCAAAGATAGCGTCGGCAATTTCATCGGCTTCGCTACACTTTCCCTCTGACGCCAAACGCGACATTTGTGAAGTCGCCACGCAGAACATTGCGTTCATAGACTCGATGGCCGTTGAATTAGGGAACAAACTTTGCTGCTTCGGCCAGTAGAGCGCATCTTCGAAGGCTGACAAAATTTCTTCCAGTGCTTCGTCTCGGCAGATTGTTTCTTCATCATCATCAAAGTCGGTGAAGTCAGAATCGAAATCTACGTACACCCATTCGTCGTCGTTCGCCTGGCGAATGAAAGCGTTCTTGTTTTTGCACACGCAGGAACAACAGTGGCCCATGCTAGACGGAGCGTCTGTGTAACGCAAACCAAAGCTCATCGGATTCTGTTCTCGCTTGTGATGGAGTCAGAACGTTTGCTCGTAACCTCATGGGAACGTAAAACGATGAAAATGTGCAAGATCTCTGCTTAAATTGTCTCGTGCAGCAGTCACGTCCCGAAATGTCGAGCAGAGAAGTTTATTTTTTGTGATAGGCATTGAGTCCAAGGTACAATAGGGTCATTCAATGCCGCCTACCGGAAAAACCGCATTGCTATATGCAAAATATGTTTCTCGTCACGTCTCATTATAACTGCGCACAAACTGAATAAACCTGAATAGCTTACAAGTATTCAATATTGGTTTGTTAATTCACGCTACATGCACATTTGATTAATTACATTTTAATAGAGCTTCTAAATACAACGGTAGCACAATACTCTAGTAGCCGTTCGCATTAAAACTACCAATGACGTTACGTTCTGCGAGTAAGTTAATGAGTTAATGGAAGATAATATCTTACTAGTATCATAAGTTATTCCAAGTTCTGCTTAGTAATGGTAAAACAACGGAAACCGACGTTTTAATACCGATTTTAGTTACCGTTCTTTCAGCCTTCGGACCTGAATTTTGTAATTCTCGATCCCTGAAAAGACCCTAATTTTCGTCATTACCGGGTGCCGATGAAAGCCTGTGCACTGCAAAACTCGGCGTGCTTGCTAACGATGTCTGGAGATTGGGCAGAGGTCTCTTGCCTGTTCCCATCGCTCTTCGCGCACCCTTTTTCTTGAGTGCCACACCAATTACTTACCAATTTAATAGACTACTCAGCCAATCTCACGCCTTAGTAAAACAAAACAAAAACCAACGACAAAAACCACAAGCAATCGCCTGATTACTTTCGATACTCGTTTGAAAACCGCTCTTCTCACCCGCGCCTTGAACATGGTGAAAGTCTTTGCGGCGAAAAAGGATGCTTGATCTTGCCGCAACACTGATTCACTCCCAATGCCAACGTTGTTACTGTTTTTCTGGTGTTTCTGTCTTGTTCCTTCATTTTCGTATTTCAGTTTTTTGTTTTGTTTTTTGTTAGACATGACTAATTGATCTTAATTAGTTTGTATCTTGTTCTCACTGTGAAAATATGTTCTCACAAAGAAGCCCTTATTTTGAATATATACTATGAGAGTTTGAAAACAGACAGCGAAAACAATTCTCTTTAGTAGGCTCCCTACAGAGTTAAACATTTTAGGAGAATAATCACATTTTTTTATCGGGTTAAACATCTGTTGTTAAACATTTATTTGAAATGACAGTATTCTTCACTTAGCTCGTAATCCGTTGATTCAACCGCTACAGTGTGCTCGATTTTCGCCACTCCCTCGTGTCCGACCTACGGCGTTCCTCCAAACAGCGGCTGGCAATCGAGCCGTTGCAGTCTGGTCATCGTTTCATCAGAATAGCACTCGTTAAGAATTTGAATTTAGGAAGGAAATAATCACAGACATCTTTATAATGCAAATAATTAACAGCCCAGGAATGAGGTCAATTGATTGTTTTTGTTATTGCACAAGCAAAAAGCGAACAAACTGTTCAGTGTACCGGCGGTACAGGAGTTACATAATACTGGCTATTGACAAGGCCAAAAACGCCGGTCCCGGTCTTTGCACTTTCCATTACTCGCTGCTAGTTCTTCTGTCTGCTGGTAGCTTAACTGCTTTGTATTATTAAACAAGAGCCTTAATAAGAATTGCTTTGAATCACAGTGGTTCAATGCTAGAATTACCATACTTTGCAAGAGCGCTTTCTTCTTTATAATTCAAATCCCTCAGCATATCTTCTCTTACTGTCCAGTATGAAGGGCAATTTTTTCCGTATTTTGTAATTTGTAAATGCCTGCCAGAGCACACGAGGCAAAGGACATAGAACCTTTGCAAAATGTTGCTACATTCCAAGAAGTACTTTAACAAGAAAGCGTTTGTTTCTGCATCTCTCACTTCGAAGAAGTACAATCGCAAGATTCGATCGTCGCTTTCGTAGAACTGTTCGGGCTTAAAGTACTGCCCAGCGAGGACAACTGCACTTTTCGTTTCGATTCTCTCGCGTGGGAACGACTTAATCTTCAGAAATTCAAACGGTTTGCTGCCCCAAGCGCTTCTCAACCGTAGGATCATTTTTACAATTACGTCGGCAGTACTATAGTCTCCACCTTCGGCCAAACGGCTGATTTCTTCACAAGCGTCCACGAATAATTCGCTCACTGACTCTGAAAACTCGGAGCTCCAAGAAACGTCGTGTTTACTCGTCCAACAAAGGGCTTTCTCCAATTTTGAGGTGATTTCTCGTAGAGTGCTGTCTTCAAGACAAACGTTCGTCAACTGCGTCGCCGAAATTTCTGCCGAATGCCTTCTCCTTTTTACATCTTTTCTTTTCGCCTTATCTGTGACGTGCATGTCTGCTTCGTATTCAGACCGAGAAGGACAACTTCCCATCTTAACACAGGGCGATTCGAAACGTTGAAAAGTCAGAACACAATGCGGACAAACTTACATGAATCTCAAAACACCCGCCAAGGACAATAACTGTGTTTGTTTATTATCGATATTGAACGACCGAAGTATATCTGCAATTGCTCTCTTAAATCTATTATTCATGCTAATCTCTAAATATAGATATTTTATGCAAGCAGAATCAATATGGCGTATCGAAACTCCTTCAAAATTTCACGCTTTCGAATAACGATTCATTAAAGTTCTTTGATGTCGCTCCACCCACACGTCATGTGATTGCTAATGGGAAGAGTTCGTTACTATGGAAACTTCTAGCTCTCGAATGGATAGTCTGCTTTCGCTACAAGACCACATATGGAAACGAATATTTTTAGCTGGACAGTTAACTTGGTTAGTTTACTTTTTTTTTCTTCAAAAAAAACTTTTAGATCCATTGTTTTGTTTTTACAATAACTGAACTTTCCTTATTTGCTGTGTTTCAATGATGCGACTAGTCTCATAAATAAAGAAAATCCACCTGTCTGTGTCAGTTCTCACTTCTATAGTTTGATTTTCAATCTCAAGCACGAACTCGTTAAGAAAAGCCGTGAAGCCTCATAGAAATAGATATCGTTTGTATAATGTTATTTAGCCGGTCAATTTTTCCCAATAAAATGGCAATTTTTTTATTTGGCGCACACTTCAAACACATGAACACTATACAGACCTATAATTATTAATTGTGCAGATTTTCAGCGCAATTGCGGAAAAGTCAACACGCGCAAATACTTTGCACATCGTTTGTGGCTTAACGAAATGATAATTACTAACGCTTTGGATAAACTGCACTGACAAATGATTTGTTCGTAATTGTGAGTGTTGAGACCTGGAAAGAAAGTACAACGCTTAATATTTTACTGGAAGAAAGTTTATGCCGTTGGGGTGTTGTGTTATTAGAGCCCTGGCCAAATGGATTCGCAAGTAGACGCAACATAAAAAATTAAGTCTTCTCGCGACTCCGTTTAGCCAGGCCTTGCGTGACCTTGCGTTGACTCGCGATTACTTGCGCTCACTTTGATCGAGATCAAATTTGCACGCAAGTCGACGCGAGTTTTTCATCGTTTTGTCACCTAACCCAAGTCAACGCAAGTTGTTTAGCAACCTATTAGCCAATGAAATACAGGATTTTGGCCGCGCTGCGAATGGCGTGTACTTGCGTGGAAACTTGCGATTCCGTTTGCGATTCCGGAAGTTTCTATGCGTAACTTGCGGCTACTTACGAGTCCATTTGGCCAGAGTTTTATCGTTATAGCGTGAATGAGTGAGTGACTGTCCTGTTCACGACCAAATCCGACTTTTTAGCCCAAGCGCCCGAATAGGATCGAGTGAATGAGTGAGTGACTGTCTTGTTCACGACCAAATCCGACTTTTAACATGTAAATTTAAAATAAAGTATTAAATTCATAACATCCAGCTTATACTGATCACCGGTAAAATGGCATGCAATTTTGGAGCCCGTAAAGTAAACATCGTTAAATTCATAGATTCATAAACTGGTAACTGAAGTGCAATAGTTCTGATTCCAGAGAAATCAGAAGAACTTAAAATGAACTTAAAATTTGGGCGTCACTTCGTTAAATGCAGAATGAGATAAACAAAGCGCTACAAAAAAAAAGATTAATTGGCAAAGTGCTTAGCATCTTCTCGATCCCGACAAGCTAAAGTGATTGGGCTAGTAGACGTGTTATGAAAAGTAAAAAAATCAACTCTACTCTAAGGAGAAAACAATGAGAAAGAGATTTGTAATGACTGGTCAGGCACACGGACCGTGGACCACTGTGATCGCTTAAAAAAGTTCTAGTACCAATATAATTATGAGTGTTTTTGAAAATTTAAATCTAATTTACCAATGCTAAATTAATTCCAAGTTGACTTGATTCATAATCCATGTTGATTTTATTCTTCACCACATTGATACAAGGAGAAGTCCTTGTGATGTCATATATTTGACAATTATTCCACGAGTGCGCGTTGGATATGAGATGGTAGATAGCCAACTACGCACCTCGGTGGCTATAATCATGTTATATCCGACAAGCACGAGTGGAAGAATTGTTTTATTAAAAACGCCCCCAAAATATAGAAAACTAAACTAAAATAAAAAATAAAAACGTCCCAAAAAAACAAATCACGCGTACGCTTACCATATTTGTAGAGCATGGTATAATGGCTCATAACCCATGATGGCTAAGCCAATGAAAACTCCTGAATTGCATTACCCAGTTTTCAGTAAATGGAAAAAATCCGGCTTGCGTAATGCGTGACACGAAAGAACGCGCGAGCAGCAAAAATGGCCGCGCAAGACTGAAGAAAGCCCCAAAGGGAAGGACATCATCAAAGGCTACGCCCTTTCTCGGTTATTTTCTTCCGTGCTTTGAACAGTTTGTATAAAACTTTCGAGAGGAAGACAAAAAGAATACCTGCCTGGAGTGAAAACACTGACGGTGTACCCAGCGTTTGTGAGCTCCTCAATGGAGGGTTGAACGAAAAAAAAATCTTTCCTCATTCTTGTCAAAGTCAGTATTTACTTTTTTCTTCCGAATAAATTTGGAAGAAGCCAGTCGAGCTAAAAACCATGCAAGGAAGAAAGGAATTATTGTAAAGATCTCAATCTATCACTGCCGGTGGCTGACCCTGCTAATCCGCCTGTTCTGCAGGCTGATAGCTCTTCAAATCGAAGTTTATTACGTCACAAAAGTTACGATCATCTCGACTAACATCTGACTGAAACGTGCGAAGCTAATCTGATACAAATAGAAAAGAGAAATTAGTTTCTATACGTTTCGTATATTGAACAACGCGTCGTATATCTGGTTCCATCCCATCTTTTTCTTTTTTTGATTATCTATACTCCCTGCAAGCATACTGTTTGTTCTTGGGGAGTTCTTTTGTGTTTCTATTGCGTCAAAAAGTTTTGTCTATATAGGCCTTATACGTATGCAACAGAATCAATCGCTTGAAAATGAAATAGCACGAAGTAATGAGTAGTTAAAATCATTGATTTTCTCCGTCGACGGGCTCTGCAAATCAATTTTTATGTTGTTTAAAGGTCTTTATTTAACTAGGAGGAATGTTGAAATACAGCTTAACAGAGTTCGATCTGCAAAGAATGGTTTTAATTCTTAATGTTAAAAATACGTGACGCGTGTTATTTTTTACTGTCGAACCGGAAGCCTAAAGCCGCTGTATAAAAGACTTCATTTTCTTTACTCACTGCAAGGATCAAACAATTCATTATGGGTGAAAGCTCATGGGACGTTATTGTTTTGTGTTGTTTACTTGCATATTTGCATTTAGTTAATACATGCATTTACGCATCGATTCACACTCAACTTCCTTCATAGCGTCAATAACATTGTATCAGCTTGCTGATTTACCGGCTTCTGGTCACGATCGATGCGCTGACAGATTGCCGAGAAAATCGCATTTGCAGCATAAATGGGGTGCTTTCCAATCAAAGCATTCAGGAGATTGCCAGACGACGAACTGGATCTTGATAACGCTCCGTTACTTGAAGAAACTTCAAGATCGGAGGACCCAAGCGAGGATCGCGATCTTGTCTGGTCGTCAAAACATGGTCGAGATTTAAATAACCAGTCTACAGACTCCAGATTAGAAACGCTGTTGCTCAAACTGGAGCACGCTCACAACATGAGAGAAAAAGTCCAGCGGTTGAAATCGAAGACAGAACTTGAAAACTACAGGTTAAAGATAATTGGTATTCTCAATGCGGCAACAATGGAAATGAGTCGCTTGACGAAAGAACGCAAACACCACGAAGTGGAAAGAGTCGTAAAAGAGATTATGCAACTGAAAAATGCCCTTGGGGATGACTTTTTCGAAGCTGCGCAGATCAACGCCTTCGGCAGGGAAATTACAGAACTGGGATCGTTCTTGTTAACAGGTGGACAATACTTTAAGCCGGTAATGATACAAGAAGACGATGATAACATTGTGAAACTTTATTTCTTCGTCGTTTCTGAAGCGGAAACGACCAAGGTTTTGTTTCGTTATTATCTAGAGCACGCAAGCTTTCTGGACGAGTACTTCGCACTGGGACTTGTTACTCCTGAGGGGCACACCCAGGTAGAAATCTACGGCAACTCATGTCCGCCTTATTGGAAAATTCGACGAGATGTCATCAATAACGCGACAGTTCGTCTCTCTCGAACGTACGATAACGAGGATTATGACATTGACAACTCTAACGAATATGATTTTTTACAATGGGGTTTTTCGGAATGAAGCCATGGAAAAAAATAGTATTTAAACGGTAATTATTACAAACGAAGGTTTCTTTTCTCGCAAACAAGAAGGTAAATCTAAATGTTTCTCCTTTCACATTCACGTTTAGAATGTTTTAAAAAGTTTTACGTGCGTTGATTCTTTCACTTTCGTAGTTACGTAGTTCAACAAACGCAACCTAATGTTTACATTGAGCAGTTTATCTATATAGTTAGCTTTTAGTATATTAGGTCATATTTTGATAATTACAAATAGATATATTCCTTTCAGAAGTGGCCCAATGAAAAATATTAGTTTGGTAGATTTCTAACGTTGATGTATGTACTTTTAAAAATGTTCTTAGAAATGCATGAGTTGAACATTTCAAGAATGCAAATGATTCAGTCATTTTAGAGGTAAAACAATAGATACATGTAAATAGCGCGCGCGCGCCATGTTACTTTCACTTTTCACAGTCAATCATGAATTCCCAGGGGGAGGGGTACTCCCTTATATGGGCTATATAGGTATGTGCGGCCCCAAAGTGTATAGGTTTTCAGCTGCTTTGGTCATAAATAGAGTATCGATTTTGGCCAATTTGGTCAGAAACATGATATGTTTTTTGCACTCTGGTCTTGAATTAAGTATGTTTTTTAGAAGAAGCTACTTTTTCATAGTTATCGATAAGACCATCAACAAAAGCCCTGCATAAATTATGTTTAGAGCAACTGTGCCAGCGGCAACGGCCGTAAATAGGGTAGGGAAAATCGCAGATCAGGGTCATAAATAGGGTAAGGGTTTTGGGAAGCGGGCCGCACACCCCCTCCCGATTTTTCTGGGAGTACCCCCGGGCATGAATACGAAAAATCATGCATACTTAATAATATAGAGGTAACTGTAAAAGAGGTTTGACTGTGTTTTACAAATGCAATATCATCCGTGAAATAATTCTCGTATTGTTATCTGCTGGCGGTAGATATGTCGTCGCTAATCCACCATGACAAAATCTCGACGAAATCTTTTTGATGAAAATTAAAATGAAACATAAAATAAGTAAATCACTTTATTTAAGTGTCAAAGTGTTCGGCGCTACTGTACTAATTGGGGACACTGAAATAAGCAAACAAATATTGTAAATTAAACAGAAACTTAATTGACAACTTAATCAAAACTAAAGTAATGAGAATTAAACTATCGGTCAGGTGAAACAAAATTAACTATGCAGGTCGATGTACAGCCGTACGTATATATACACCGAATATCAAGTGACATTTCTCTCTTAGGTGCATGAGCTGATTTTCTTTTTTTGTAAGGGGATTTTCCAGATATAGTCAAACCTCTCCTTGATATGGCTAGTTCACTTGAATTCAAGCAGGTTTAAGAGACACCAGAAATCGCATAATAACTCTATTTTATACGGATACCTCAATAATACGGAGACTTCCATAATACGGACTCTCTTCGCGATAACGGTCTTTGTTTAAAGAGTCTCGACTATCTTTTCCGAACACCAAAAAAGCATTATGAAAAGTGCCATAGATCCAATTTGTCAATTTCTAATTTAATAAGAGATAAAACCGCTAAAGATTGGCCAAAAATGATTGATCTGTAATTAAGTGGGTCACTAATTTTGTGAGAATTCTTCAAGCTTGTTGGCAATGAAATGAGACAAGATCACTGAACAACTTCGTAGTTATTAGAGAACATTTTGGTGAGAGGAACAGAAGGCGGCTAAATCATTTACTTTTTCATTTTTTTTCCTTTTTTCTAAGGATAAGATTTTCCATATTGGCTAATATTTGGTGAAAAATAATGACACGTTTATCCGTTAGTTGTAAACTAGCCAGAATTTTGCTTTCAGACATAACGAACTTTTCATTCCATCTACATCATTAAATTATTTTAAATTATACATAAGACAAAGCTCAAATCAGTGCTGATTTCCTGTATATAGAGGAAAATAAATTAGCACACTCGGGCAATTCCTTTTTTAGCCATATTTTTCATCGCCTTAATGCGCCCGCAATGTTTTTTAACGTTTAGCCTAATTGATATAATTTGATAATGGAGTGCTTCGGGATAATTTGATAAAAAAAATATGTTAATAAGACACAGTATCTTTTGTACGTAGCATTTTACCATTGTAGTTATCAGTTTTTTAGCTATTAATTTAATTTTACAGTAGTCAGTGTATGATTATTTTATAACAATCTTTTACTTTATGTGAATTATTTTTAATAAAGAACCCGGAGCTGAAGGTAAGTCTCCCAATTCTATGAGTCCTATGTAAGTACAGTAATAGTAAGAAAGCTTTAACTACATGAAAACGAACGATCTTTATCATCCTCCTCCAATTAATTGTATATGCTGGATGCACTGTTGAGCAATTATTGGCTTGACATTGTCAAAAATCTTTGTGGTTGTTTCTCGTCAAGTTGCGCTCTCCACGCGGCAATTCAATGATGGCGGTCGCATCCCTTAAGAACTTGCGTCGTTGTCAGCAGTGTTGCATTCTCATTTGGGGGAGCTAAGCGGGGAAAAAAGCTAGGTTTCGGCGCGTTTAAAAAACGCGGTAAACGAGGCCCTGCATAGGAACAGTGATAATAAGCGTGAGCTTTCATATATACCTTGAAGTTACACAATAATTGTGAGAGACATGATCGAATACAGCGAATTTTTTCAACTTAGTAATGGTAAAATGACTGCAAAATCCACCGATATAACGAACTCCCTTCGTACATGTACAGTGGTAAACACATTTTGCAAGTGCGTTATACTGGGCTTTCTGTTTCTTGGAAATTTAGGTCTTAGCATAATATAAATGATCTCAGGCAGCCGAAAATTGTGACTTGTCTGAACAAAGCAGACATGGTTTATACCGAAAGTTTTTTGAAACGGGCATTTAGATTAAAGCTTCATAAAATCCTTTAGAACCGTCCCCAGTCCAGTTTGCTCTATCTAGTGAAATAGAAACAAAATTTGGAAAAAAAAAATAGCAAACTAAAAGAAAAGAAAACTAGTAAAAGGAACTTCACGGCCACACGCAGTCGAGGCAATCCCCACGTGACCGCGGTACCAAGTCAAGATGGCGGACGATCGTGAACCTCCTGCTCTTTTCGACGACGACGGTGACACGCCAGAATCCAAGCCAGACGAGCAAACAAACGGTGATCTTTTCATCGGAGAGACAACTGAGATCACTCTAGATGATGGCGAGTCAAAAGATGAAGAAGCGCCAATAGAAAGTGATGAGGGTGCTGCCGATGGCGCGGGAGACGAGCAGGAACAGAAGAGCGAAACCTCTGCTGCAGCCTCCGTGGATGTCACGAACCTCTCAAAACCGAGTGAAGATGACAGCAAACCACCTTCTAAAGAAAAGGCCGAGGTTGGAATGCAGCTAAGAGCTTATATTTTACGCCTGTTTTCTGTTCACGTTCAAACATAATCACTCCGATAATTGATCTCAATTTCCCTCCCATATTGGTCAGCTAATCACATTTTCAAGATAAGCTAATCAAAATAACGTCAAGGACTCCGTTGGTGATCATTAATTGTTTAATTGACGGGAAAAAATACTGAAACATAGGGGTAAATTTAAATAAGGGTTTTGACGTGCTTTATTCATGATTCACTGAATTAGAGAAGTAGTTGAAATCAGTGAAAAACAGACTTCAAAGTCAGTGACATTAAGCTTAATTATTTTGTTTACACTGTAACTTCTTTGACACAGAATTATATATCTCACTATTGTGCAGAATAATTCAAAAAGAAATCTACCAACAGGTTGCAAAAGTAAGAATTTCGCTGAAGGCATTTCCAAAATATATATCCCATACACTACTGCTTGTAAGCAGCTGTTGTGTACATAGAGAGGGTGTGTATTGAGGTAGGAACATGGTATAAATTTACAATTATGGAAAAGAGAGAGCCATCCAAAATTGCAAATTTAATGTGTGAAATAGGTGATCTTTAAATTGAAAATCTGTGACTTTTGATGGTACAACTAAAATCCATTGGCAAACCACAGTGAAGATAGAACCAGCCAAGCAACATGACAACCTTCACTGATGGGATCTCTATTCTTAGGAACTCCTTGGAGCCCCTGTTAGGTTGAATCAGGCAAGTGTATTGGGTTGAAAGTGTGTGACAGGTGACATTATTGTGCTAATTTCCAGTTTAAAGATGTTCCAAACTTTCTCACAGATCATCAATGATCGTGTGCAGCATAGGTGGGGTCTTGTTGACCTACATGTAAGAGCTTACAAATATACTCAAGATTTGTACATGTACCCTACTATAAACATGTACAATGTATTTGCATACTGTCATGTTGGCAATTTGTTGGACACGGTCGTGAAGGACAGGCTTCTGACCCTAATGAATCTTGGTACACAGACAACAACTGCACGTTTTGAAGTAGGTAAAGTCTGTGTCAGGCCAGTGGCCCTTACAGCTGGAGCTTATTCCAGTTTCTGTAGCATGAAGCAACTAGGAGTTTCTCTACTCCCCCGTGGATGAAAAGGAATAGTACAGTAAATGAATTCAGCTACTTATGTGTCATCTTTTTGGGAGAGACATTTTAGAAAATTCCTTCATCTAAGACATTTTCTTTTGTTGACAGGAAAAAGAAACTGTAGAGGAAGAGGAAGAGGAAGAAGAAGACGACACATTTGACATGAATATTAAAGTAACAGATCCTGAAAAAATTGGTGTGTTTGCTTTTACTTGGCATTTACAGTAATTTTGTTTAAAGGTCTACATGTAACTGCTACCAACTCCAAAGTAAACATGTGGAAGTCAATCTATCAACATTTATTTTTTCAGAAACAAAATGATAAATTTTGCTTTATTTTGAACCTTCTGTGGGTGTATTAATTGGGTTTGGTCAAAAGGACATTAGTTTGCACAAGTAGATGCAGGGACTTAGAGCAACTCAATCTTTGCTGCAGCCTGGATTCAGAGCACATGCACAACCTATCACAGTACCTTTGATCGGTTTACAAATGTAGGCCAACTGAGTCCTCTTCTCAACTTGTACAATGCTTATGTTAGTTATTAAACTGCAAACAGAAAATGAATTTTGCATTTTGAATTGCTGCTATCAATAATTACCAGTTGGCTCAATCTAGAAATCTCAAATATAACATTCCAATTGAAAGAAAGAACTCCTTTTAAAATATTTTAACTGCTTATTTTCTGTATGTATATGTTGTAGGTCAAAATGAAATCCTGGTTAAAATGAAATTCCTTTGTTTTATTATTGTAGGGTCATGAGTAAAATTATTTGGGTTAGAAGACAAAGGAAATTGAGCATCAAATTAGGTTAAAATCATTTTCACCTGAATTTCATTTTGACCTACAACATATGCATGTTTATGTACATGTATGTACATACCTTTGGTAAGTGTTCTGTATCATTTTGGGTTTTAGTAGGTCTTTTTTGGCTTCATCCAGCAGAACTCAAAGTGAGTAGATAAAGTATTCTTGAATGCAATATTTTACTTACAGTGTGTGATATTACTTTCTAGGTGATGGCATGAGCTCATATATGGTGTTCAAAGTTACCACAGTGGTAAGAAACTTGGTCTTTTGTATCATTCCAATACAGTACCTTGGCTCTTTGCCAAGTTTATAATTTTATTCCCTTGCCTTGTGATGTTTATCACACCATAATGTTACTGATAGTAATTCATAGGAAGCCAAACTAGACACCCCAGTAGACAATAGTTCAAAATTCTCAGAGGGAAATACTGGAGAACATTCCAGTATAGATGTTACATCCACAGCAACATCACTTAAACAATTTAAATGTCTGCTTTCTCCTAGACAAGCATGCCAACTTTCAAGAATTCAGAGACATCAGTAAAGCGTCGATTCAGTGACTTCCTTGGGCTTCATGACAGACTGAATGGTAAATTTCTTCACCTGGGAAGGATTGTTCCTCCTGCTCCTGAGAAGTCTGTTGTTGGTAAGTTATATGGGCAAAGTCTGCTCTTGAGCCAAGAGGCACACACGGGGCAACTTGGAGTATTCTGACTCCAAAATGGGATGCTAGTCCATAGTAAGGTTACCCCAGCATTACATTTTGCAGGCACCTATCTATATGTGTATATATATATGTATGTTGTGATTCAATTTTTACCTCTGCTTTAAATTATTCAAACCATTTTCTTTTTCACTTTTTTTGGGTGGGACAGGGGAGGGGGGGGGGGGATCTTAAATTAGTAGCATGCACACCACCCACCTCACCACAGTCCTTATTCTACTCTACCCTTTCTCAGTCCCTAATCCTACCCTAACCCCATCAAGAACCCATATCCAATCCTTCCCCAACATTTACCATACTACTACCGTACTTATACTACATGTACAACAATTTTTGTAGAAAAATCTTGGTCGCACTTACATTTGAACATTCAATTTTGGACTTGGTAGTTCGCCTTCGTCGCCACTAGGCTACAAGGAATCATTGTTTATGTCCCCATGTTTGTTAGCTGATAAATTATGGGTATGACTCCCCCTTCCTCTTTTGTAAAAATTAGACAGATGTGAACAGTGAAACTGGTTTGAAAAATTTAAAGCTGAGGAAAAATTGAACGACACATGTAACATCTACAGAGAGGTACTGCAAAAGTAAATGTAAAAGTAAATATACAATTAAAGGGTCAAGTCAAATAAAAATAAAACATACCAGTATTAAGTCATGAGGTAAAAATAAAACAAATATGTATGTGTGTGTATGTGTAGCTGCCTTTTTGCTGATATTTTCTGAGTAGATTTTGGTTTATTTTACAGGTATGACTATGGTCAAGTTGGGAAAGGGAGAAGAAAATAATCCAGTAGACTTTATTAACAAGAGGAGAGCTGCCTTGGAAAGGTACTAGCTAATGTAAAATGTTTCATGATGTCATGAAGTACTCTCCCAATATTACTACTGAATATAGCCTGTAAGTGCAGAAATGGAGGGCAGTGGTGAGTGATATCCTTTTGTTCACCAGTGCTGAGCCAAGTGAATTTCCTTTCTTTAATGGTAAGATAGGAAATGTATATGCCATGTACATGTGCATCACATTTACATGTTCATGTGCATTTAATTTGCTTTCTTTTCAGCCCTGTAAAAATGTTTTGTATTATCAGGCAGGATAACAGAAGACGTGCATGTACTAGAGCAGTAAAGGCTAGACTAGGGTTGCTTATTAGCCAGGATTTGTGAACTGTAGTGTGAAGTACACGTGTAGGCAGCCAGTAATTACTTTACTGTAGACAGCAAAACTGCTGGCTGCTAGGAACTTTTTGACAGAGCTGTCGTGTACATAAAGCACCTAGGTGACTCGGCCATCTCATGCTTGACATGCTTGACATGCTTGTCTATCATAGTCAATTCAGGGATTTAAGACAGATTCCGCTCAAAGTTCGAGCAATAAGTGCAAAAATTATTTACTGAAAATCTACTCATAGCACGGAAACTTTTGGAGTACTATTTAAAACAACTCACTTGAGTTCACTTCTCTAAGTGACCCCGTGATTAAATTTTCAAACGTTCTCAAGAAAGTTCATGTCAAACCTCGTAAGAATGCTTAAAGCATGTGTTAATATGTTTTTAACTAACGCGAAACGTCTGTTTTAATTGAAATATGGATAACTTGAAGTTTAATTTTCTCTCACGGGGTCAGCTTGAGAGCCACAGTCTCAATAAGTTCTTCTTAACTGTATTCAAAATATTACCATGCCATGAGGTTTTTTTGGTAACTTATTTTTTGCCATTATTGCTCGAATGTTCTGTGGAAATCATCTCAATAATCACTGGCTTTCTGCTTTTCAGATATCTTAACAGAGTTGCAAGGCATCCAACCCTGCGTGAAGATCCAGATTTCCGACAATTCTTAGAGGCTGACGTGGTAATGTTGCATTGTTTTTCTTGTATGCTTTATGGTCAATTTGCCCATCCCAATTTTACTCCCTATGGTTTACAGCAAAATTAATTGCTCAAGACTAAATCAGTTAAGAAGATGACTTGTCAACCTTCTACATATGTTTCAGTAAGAACTGGTAACCTGCAAAATTCGCCATCTATGGGAAGCAAATTTACATAAATTATCTGTATATTTCCTCTGTCGTCGTATCTATAACAAAATTCTTGATCATGATTGGTTCTCTGTGTGCCTATTTGTTACATAATCATCACGTGATCATGTGGGTGTCCAATTACAAGTATCCAATTACAACTTTTTGCAATTGGATACCTGTAATTGGACACCTATGTGATTTGCACCTTAATTACACCCACTCTTAGAATGGCTTCCTTCTCAATTTTTCCTACAGCTTTTAAAGCTTATGGAAAATGCTAGTACCTTTATTGCTCAAACGAAATTACTTCTCAAAAGACTGTCAATTTGAAATTTGTTATAGATACGATTAATTAGTGATTGGACTTCGTGTCATACAATTCAGGGAGTAACCATGCCTCACTCTTCATGGTCTACCGATTTTGAAATTACTCACCCGATTACTACCTGAATTGTACTCAACTTGGTCCAAATACTATTACAAACTAATAATATAATGGTAAAAACTGAACTTTAACCAGCTGCCTGCCGTGCAGTTTTGGCCACCTGCATAAAAAACATATTGTAACCCCTGCCTCTGTCTTTTTTTTCCATGTACACTAACATTTACATGTACAGTACTCACCTCATTTTTCTTAGTCCAGACAGCCTCTTGGGTTGAGAAGTATGCATTCACTTCTAGTATAATATACTAGAAATGGACATGTATTATTATTGTTATAACAGCACTTACGTTGACATAAATGTGCAAGATGCAGTATGTAAAAAGATGATGATTGTCTTTGGATACAAAATGTTTGTGACCCTGACATGGCCTTTTGCACATCCTAATTTCAATTTGAAAGAGTGCTGAGTAAAACAGGTTAATGACTTGTCAATAGAGTTTACTGAACATTGTTCAATAAGTTCTTGTAGAAAGCATTTTTATACCATGCTTAGATTTTTATCTTTTGCACATTAGTTACCCAGAGCTAAAGACACTGCAGCACTCAGTGGGGGTGGTCTGAAGCGGTTTGTAAAATCTGTTGGAGACACAATGTTCCAGCTGACCACAAAGATGTCTGAATCTGACCAGGTGAGATACAGAGGTGCACTATCTGTCAGTAGCAGCTGTTTGCGGAGTTGGGTTTGTGAAGGTTGAGAGGAACAAATCAAAGCAACAGATATAGCAGTGATCATCATGGTTCTGTAATGTGGAAACCCTATTTTCTAGCTTCAGAACATTCATAAGTAAGACATTGTCAAAACTCTACAAGAGGATCAAGCTCAATATAAAAGTTAATTTGATCAATTACCTCTCAATACTGTAAGCCATTTGGCTCTCAGTCATTGCTCCTGGATCTTGTTGCTCTTAGTTTCTACTCAATATAGCCACAAGATAATATTTTCCTTATACTCGTATCAATGGTACAAAATGTTTTAATTAGAATTTGAAAAAATATTTTGATTTCATCTAGACATTATAATCATGTACAGTTGTAAACTTTCGTAGCATGATAAACTGATTGATGTTGTTGTTAACACTTTTAGTGGTTTGAAGAGAAGCAGCAACAGATTGAAACTCTTGATCAGCAGTTGAAGAAACTTCATCAAAGTATAGAAATGCTTGCCATGCAAAGACGAGGTTGGTTTCTTAGATGTCAACATTGTTTTAGTTTGTTTCCTTTATACCCATTGAGTTATTATTGTACATGTACATGTAGTGCTATTATTGATGTTGTTTTACTTTTTGTCTCTCTTTTTGGTAACAGCCATGTCACTTATCTCTTGTCCAAACTTTTTCAGGGACTTTGTTGGAGAAAGAACACATACATTAC